GAGCCATTGATATGGGAAAATGTGCCTTGAATGAGTACTTGTCATTTACGACAATAACATTTGTTTTAAGCTGCATGCATCAACGTCAGTGCTGAGGGTCAGTTCTGAATTAAAACTAATGTCCTGATTTTATGTAATGTTCAGCAAGGGCAAGGCATGCACAGTTTAAGCATGGGTCACATGGCTACTTGTATGTGAAAGGTTTTAGTGATGACTCCACAGCGAATTATCACCTGACTCTGCAGTTCCTCTTCAGCTCTGTGGAGCTTTATAGTGTCTCTCTTACTATAGCATGTGTTTTCAGTGAAAAAGCTTTAATATACTGACTGTATACTGCCTGCCCAACACCAAACTGGAGATACACAATGTCAGGAGCTAGCTGGTGAACATTGTGTGGATACATCCAACAAATAGTTTAAAGGACCAGTGTGTAGGATTTAGTGGCATTCACCCTCCTCTTCCAGGAGGAGAAACTACAGTGGCCACAAAAACGTCCCTATGCGAATGTTTGATTTGTCCTTTCTGAGCTACTGTAGAAACATGGCAGTTCAGCACAGTGTCCTCCGTAGAAGGCATCTGCAGATATAAAAATCTAATTCAAAGATACAAAAACATAGTGATTCCTATTTTTAGGTGATTATACACTAATGAAAACATATGCAAACACTATTATTACATTTTTGTGGGATTAGGCTACATATTTAGCACAATATCATGTATGTAGCCATTAGGTGTATTTTAAGGCTCTTGAAAGGGGTTGGAAACAGCTTAATTAGCTAGCAAATTACAGTTGATTAAAAGCTGCAGTGAGACTTTCACTCAAAATCTGCAAAATCAATGGTCAGCGGGTAGAGAAGCCAGCTTTTTTTCCCATTATTTTAAATATTGGGCCTAATAAGTATTTTGATGGTAAATATGCTACTGTCGCCAGAACAGAAAAGCATGACACACGTATCTACGGAGGATGGGACTCAGCAAACGTCAATTGTATTAGCCTTAAATGTCTGGAAGAGCGCACAAGCAGCATCAGAATGGGCTGGTTGGATGACAACTATTTTAATACTTTAGTAAGCCTATATTTTATATATTGTCAATTTGTGCAAGTGCTTCAATGTTTCATAAACAACGCAGGTAACTTTAACATAAAACACTGCAAGAATTGAAGGACTGTAGTGGAGACATGACTTATCTGTGTGCTCATATATATATATATACAGTATATATATATATATATATATACATAATATTGTGTGTGCTCAATTTGGATCTCGGAGACATTGAATTGAGTGTTTAGTTTCTTTATTGATTTCTTCTGCCTTTTTAAATTGATTTCTATGGGAAACATTTGCTTTGTTGACATTTAGTTAAAGTTCAATTATTTATACAGACCTTATGTGTCTGAAAAACATATTGAGACTGAAAAGAAACAAACAGGAAAAACCTAACCAGAGCCACTCAGTAAGTAGGGGAAAATAAAATAGCATGTTGGACAGACAGGGATAAACACTTGCTTAGGTTACCTGGAAACTACCTGGAAAAACCTTGTAAGGAAAAAAAAAATAGAAAGGAATAGAATAGAAAGAGAAAAGAAAAATATTCAGAAGGCCAAATCAAATGGATCCCTCAGCAATATGTGATGGAACTGGACCCTTGATTTAAAAGAAACATAAATAAGTATCCATTTCAATGTACAAGTTATTTTTGATAATATTTTTTAAAAGAAAAGACACACGATACAGAATTTACTGTGGTTTACTGTAAGAAAAGGCCAAAAGATCCAATAAGCACAGTTTTGTGATTGTACATATATTAATATATGAATGAAGAGACCAAATGGTGAATAGAAAATAAATTATCTTTAGTATTTCACAAAAAATTGAAAAAAACAGAGCCCTTGTGCTCCTGTCAGGGGGACAGTCATGGTGCACTCCTCAGGCAGTAAACAGACAAAATCCTGATCCCGCATGTCGTAGCGCTGGAGGGCATGGAGGAACATGCTGTTATTTGGCCAGAGTTGACTCTGACTGGAGATTATGATAACAATTAGAAGATTGTACAAAGTGTAGGCAAATATGAAGTCTGGCCAATTTTTGACCTTTTTGTTTTTCCACCACCATCCAGGACTCCTGTGATCTACAATGTGGACCGACATCCAAGTTACGAGCAAGAGGGTTGTTTGAGTAGTTAAAAACAGCCGCAGGTTAAATGCAAAAGATGTCAACAGTTGTAAATAAACACAGAGTCAGGTATATTAAATTTCAACAAGTGTTAATAAGCACGGAAGAGGACTTTTTCTGCAGAGAGGCTGCGCTCAAAACACTTCATGTCATATCTTCTTCTAAAACTTTGAGAGCTTTGAAGATGACTGATGGTAGGGGCAATTTTAAAGCAACACAATGTCTCAGGTTTCATCTCCATCTCCATATCCATTGCATTCGAGTTAAGTGCTGCCTCAAAAGAACGACAATCCCATTTTCACTGGGATGTGAGAAAAATATTCTTTTTATATTCTATTTCATTTTATTGCTGCTGTAAAGTGTTTCATTCCACACTCGGGACATAAGCACATTGCACCGTATTTTTGGTGTAAGCTCTGTGATCATAAAGAAATACTTTTCCTGTTGCGTCACAGTATGCAGATGTAGATCCAGAGTGGTTCAGTAAGCGCCTTTGGGGTCCAAGGACCTTCATTCAAAGATTGATGCAGTCCTTTTTGTGCACAGCCTCGTCTGTCGATCAATTTGTTTTTAAGGAAGCCACATATAGTCGACAGTGTTGGACACAAAGGAAATCAATATTCCCTTGAAATATACAGTAAAGGTACAGACTGCCAGAGTCAAGACAACATGAAATAGTTCAGTCACCGACACAAATTGTTAGAAATAACTCGACCTGTGCTGTATAACCTTTTCCTTCCTCCTGGGTTCCTTTCATCAGTGATACATAGCACAAAACCTCTCTTGTATTTACTGATACAGCTGTTTCTAGATCATCAAAAGAATAACAAAGCACATTCAAATCAAAACACGAGAAAGGGGACAAAAGTAGCCTTGAACATATTGCAAAGGGACAGTCAGTGCCTGTGATCCTGTGATTCTTGGATTTCTGCTGAAAGATGAAAAGATACAGATGTGAAAAGACACGGAAACTATTATGATTTTGGAGAAGAGAGAAATAGCAGTTACCAATAGTTACTCCTGACTGCTGTTTGATCGCTTTCCAACCTGGTGACTTCAGGACCTTCGGGGTCTTTTTAGTCCTCATTAAATCATATGTCATCTGTGATGGAATAAAATGGATCATCTTTACAGCTGAGTGACTTCTGTGGCCTCAGAGGATAAAACGCAAATTGCCTCGAATTATAATATGAGGATAGGGACACAATCCAGGGAGGTACGAAGCACTGGCAGAAAGTCTGTGTTGAAATTAATGAAGAGGAAAAATCTGATATCTGGTGTCCACCTTTTGTGTAGTCCGTCTCACAGCGAAGATGATTAACATTTTATGGTAAACATAAAAATAATAATTTTGTTATCAACAGATATATATCCCAGAAGTATTTCACTATAGACTTTGATTTGATTCATTATAAAAACTTATTACATACTCATTTGCAGCCTTTGCCTTTGAGGGAAAGCTTCACAGAAGGATAACAATTATGGAAAGGACTCCCCCTGCTGGATCATCATTAGATATTTATCTGCAACCACATGTCAAAGTCATGTATTTTGTGAATGTGGAACTTTTGTGATAAAAAGATTTATAATATAATATTGTTCTGAACTACAAACAATATAAACCAAACATCACATGTTCATTTAATAATGAATATTGAACTGTTTTTGTTGTTCCACAGAATGTGTTTGTGGGATGAAACAGTGTGATTGCACACAAGCAACCAGTTAACTATGGAAATGGAATATTTAACAGGGTCAAGTTGTTGTCAGTTGAATTTAATTCATTATTTATACCCTTTTCTTCTTTTTACTCAGCTTTATTTATATAGCACCTTGCTAAGAAACACACAGCCCAAAGTGCTTCACATAACAAGCTGAAACATACATGAAATCAAAAATGAACAGCAATAAATAACAACTCTGCAAGGCTAAAAATGAATAAAACAATACAATGTAAAATATAAAAAAACAAACATATACTTTACAATTTCTTAATGCTTTTGCAATATTGTATTTTGTTACACTCCAATAAAGATGTTTAATAGGCAACTATTTTATGAAGGATTTCAGTATTTAATGCTTTTTTTTTTTCATGTATGATCATCAGTGAAATATCTTAGTCTTGGACTAATGGTTAAACAAAAACAAACTATTTGAAGACTTAACTTTGCACTCTAAGAATGTGATGTTAGGAATTGTGATTCTTTGTTTTATGGCATTTTATGGACAAAACAATTAATTGACTGACGATTTAATTTAAAAAAAACTGACAGATTAGTCGATAATGAAAATGATAATTTTTTTAAGCCCTAATTTGAAGTCAGTCCACTTCTTTAGTTGAATGCTTTGATATTGACACTATTGCCTTGCGGAGAGTAGATGTTGAAATGTTGGGCTGTTTAAAAGTTGTACCAAACAGACAGTATTATTGTAACAAAACTACAGTGACTTTTCCTAGATAGTCTTTTGTTACACTCCAATAATATCCCAATAAATAAAACACACTGCAGTCGTGACTCACTCACAACTACAACAGTGACATCTAGCGGCCGCTACAGGCGCTGCAGGCAGCTCTCACTCATACAGTCCTCTCACATCTCCAAGGATTTAGCTTCAAACCTTTTTTATTCTGTGTATAGTGCATTGTGAATCATTGTTAATTTGTAACTTTGACTACAACGAATAAATAAACATGTTTTGTCTGTTTACGCCTTCGTTGTGAACCCTTTCCCGCAAGAGGAGGAAGAATAAATGAACCTGAACGCAGCCCAAACTGCCCCCCTCCTCCTCCTCCTCCTCCTCCTCCTCCTCCCGGTCACATGCTAGTCAAGCTGGATCAGCTGACACTGGCCAGCTTCTCCTTTTGATGCTCCTTCTCCTCCATCGACTGGTAGCGCTTCTTTAAACTGTATTGTTTTCGCTATCGTTGCGCTACTGGCGTCAAGTTTTTAGATTTGAGCCGAGGAGATCTCGCCGATCCAGCAGTTAGACGGCCGGATAGATGCTGCTAGAGTGGATGATGGACGGACACGCTATTCTGTATACGGGGGTCACTTTGGCCTTCTGGAGTACCATACTAATCGTCGGTAAGGTTATATTTCCCCTGAATATTTGTCATGATGTTGCACGTAATGAATTAAATCATCTATTTTCTACCGGTATGCAACAAAGCCGTTGTAACAAGTTGTTCTTCTCTTCGTGGTAAAACACCCGTTTTGCGTTTGACAGCTATAATTCAGGGACCCGGCTAAATCCTGGGAGGAGAGCGGCTGCGGATGTTTCCATTTTGTTTTCCCCCCCCAGCTACTATTTGTTAGATTAATATGCCAATTAAAGACAACGCCATCCATGCATGATAGTATTTACTACCCTAAAAGACGCCAAAAACACTATTTGTAGCTGAGTTTTAATCGAAATCGCATGTATTTTATATTTCAGCTCGCCAGCATTTCCTTACGCTAAGCTAAGCTAATGTCAGCGATACTGCTTAAATATCAGAGGTTAGGCGACGGTGTTTGCCGTTTATGTTTACTAGTAAATACTTTATTTAGTGCAAGTTAGTGTGGCGTTTCGGGTTGCTCTTCTTTCAGTGTTATTTATTAATTTTGGCTGAGCAACATTAGCTGGTTAGCTGTAGACAGGAGAGGGATTTGGCCCCAAACAGGAACTGCAGCAGTTTTCACATGAGAGTGAGCTATCACACCGAAGTTACAACTTCTCTCCGTGACTTTAACACCTGAATGTGACTCTGTTACACACATGGTTCGGGTTATTAACGCAGGAACATACCGTCAATGTCTGTACCAAAGGGGGTTTCTCTTTCACAGACACCGAGCTTGTGAATGAGCATCAAGGCTGACTTTTTTTTCATTTTCACTTCTAATTTAACGTATTTGTTTTACTTCCACAGGTATTTGCTATACCATATTTGACCTTGGGTTCCGTTTTGATGTGGCATGGTAAGCAATCTGGACATAAAGTTACTGTGTGCAGGTTAATGAGCATCATTGGGCTGCACTGTATTTAATTGTGGACTCAAAACACAAACAGGACTACACAAGCTCTTCAGTAATACATCTGTCACCTGTCAGAATAACACAGGTATTAGTTGAACGAAAGATGTTTAATAGGCAACTGTTTTGTGAAGGATTTCAGTATTTAATGCTTTTTTTTTTTGTCATGTATGATCATCAGTGAAATATCTTAGTCTTGGACTAATGGTTAAACAAAAACAAACTATTTATTTAAAGACTTAACTTTGCACTCTAAGGATTTGTGATGTTAGGAATTGTGATTCTTTGTTTTGTGGCATTTTATGTAAAAAAAAAAACAATAAATTGACTGACGATTTAATTAAAAAAGAACTGACAGATTAGTCGATAATGAAAATGATCATTTTTTTAAGCCCTAATTTGAAGTCAGTCCACTTCTTTAGTTGAATGCTTTGATATTGACACTATTGTCTTGCGGAGAGTAGATGTCGAAATGTTGGGCTGTTTAAAAGTTGTACCAAAACTACAGTGACTTTTCCTAGATTGCACAATTGTAAGAATACTGCTATGCTACTTTACAACAGGTCATCGTTTCTGGCTATTCAGAATAATCAATATAACTATTGTTTGTGTTTTTAAAAAACAACATACAAAGTGCTTCACAAAGGCGTAAGTGTAGCACATTACTGTTAGGAGGGTCTGTCTTCACATGACTGTTCAAAAGTCAACCTTTTTTATTATATGGAAGTATAAAAGACGAGGGAAAGTATAGTTTGACTTCCTTTAGAGTTATAGTTAAGTGATTTAACCACTGTAAACAATAGAATAAGAGTTTGCATTTGAATTAAATCTGCATTTAGCTTACAAATATATATTTGATTTTCGGCTGTATAGAAGCAGATTCTCATTAATTCTAACTGCACCTACTGTTTAAAACCAGCCCTCTTTTTTGTTGTAGTGTGAGTCTGGGTCACTCTCTGTACACTGTTTAAGTTAAAATCTTATCTTATCTTCTTATCTTATCTTCGGCTGCCATTTATAACACGTTTAAATTTCATTTTTAAGGTGGTCACAAAGCAAGTAGACTTCATCAGCTGTACCTCTTTGCTTGCAGGTTCCTGACAGAGACTTCTCCTTTTATGTGGGCCAGTCTGGGCATTGGCTTGGCCATCTCTCTGTCTGTGGTGGGAGCAGCCTGGTGAGTACTTAACATAGTACACAGTTTAAAGCAGTGTAAGACACAGATAGTGGTACTTTAAAGCCTAAAATGCACCGGTCTTTCATAGAATAATTTCCTCTTTCTTGAAGCACTTAGGAAAGTAAGTATCATGTGGGAATATGGAACTGGAAAATCTTAGAATTAGCAGAACAGGAACACTCCTGAGTATCTGTTGGATGGAGTCTCTTTTTAGATTTTGAAATTAAGTGGTGAATTAAAAAGTTATGTCAGCTACACTCATACGACATAACACAACAAACACTTTTACAATTGGCTTCAGAGGGACCCTGACAAACTAAGTTGACTTACAGAAGCTTGACTGAGACCGAGACCTCATGTCGCCTAAAGTCGTCTGTTAAAAGTTACTCTTAAACACTGTAAAACCCACAGCTGACGTCCTGCAGACTGCCAAGATGCTTCTGTCCATTGAAGAGACAAACAGAATAAACCAGCCAACTCATGTTTTGCACCATTGAAGCTGGTTAAACTGTTTAATTGTATGCTTGGAATACAAACTGAGAATGTTTCTTATTTAAAATAAAGATGCATCTGTCAGTGAAAGCTTTGCTCTGCCGTTGTCAACCTGTGGTCTTTTGCAAGTGGATATAGATTATTCTGAGATGAAAAATATATAGAGAAGCTGCTCTGGATGGGTGAAATAATTGATTCACCAGCATGCAGCCGCTCAGAGAGCTCTCTCTGACTTCCCTTGATGCAGATTCAACAAGCAGAACTTGCTGAACAGAAGGAGATAAGGGCCAATTAGAACCAATGGTTCAGGACTACAGCCGACTGTCAGCAGCTCACAGCTCACAACGCAGTTCAGCCGCTGTTGGCTTGGTGTGTTGGGGCCCAGACATGTTGTATCTGTGTAGTGACTGACGTAACGTAGCTGTATTACATTTACAAATGACACGTCGGATCGACACAAATCACTGATATCTCTTTAAAGAGAAACTTTTTTACAGGGTGTTTGGATTGTGCAACAAAAATTCTTGGATGATGCAGAAGGAATCTCGCTGATTGGTGTTTTTGTTTTTTAGGGGGATCTACATCACTGGTTCAAGCATTATTGGAGGTGGTGTCAAGGCTCCACGCATCAAAACCAAGAATTTGGTCAGGTAGGCTCATGCAAGAACAGAAATTGAGAAATAATAAATCTAATTCTCCTCTGCTTTATATTTTCATATTATATTTACTGTATAGTAGGCTTAGTTAGTTATATCATTTTGACTTTTAATCATACTGTTTCTCGCCTACCTCCATTTGTTTTGTGATTATTTGTGGAAAGTATCTGCTGTACCACTGCAATTTCTCTTTGAGATTAGTAAACTAATCCTTTCTTCCCTCCCACCTGAAGCAAAGCTGTGTAGTATTATCCAGTTGAATGTTGAATACTGCTGCTGAATGAAGAAAGTGGTTTAAAAATCATATTTTTGTAGTAATGCTTAACCTCTACTACTTGCATTCCTCATGGAGACATGTAATAGCCATTTAACACCAGAAAGCGATATCAAAACATCTGTAAAAGTTTCTTAAAGTAGAACTGCAGCTTTATACAAGTGTTACATCCTGCTCTCATTAGCCTCATTGTATCTAGTTAATGAGTATCTGTGAGCGCTTGTCATGATAGCCAGTGAATTACAGTTTCACCAATCATCCATGACCACAGTTTGTTACTGTTAGTCCACAGCAGCACTTTGTAGTGACTCGGGAGAACAAGCTGCCAGGTTAAAAGCCAATCACTGGGGCGGCAGTAGCTCAGTCCGTAGGCTTGGGAACCGGAGGGTCACCAGTTTAAGTCCAGTATGGAGTGTGGACTGGTAGCTGGAGAGGTGCCAGTTCACCTCCTGGCTGGGGTGCCCTTGAGCAAGGCACTGAACCCCTAACTGCTCCCAGAGTGCCGCTACGAGGCAGCCCATCACTCCACCATCTCTCTGTATTTGCATGTCTATAAGCAAATATATATGATTGTATTTTGTATTCTGTGTGTATTTATATTATTAATTTGTTATTTTAATAAAGTTAATCATCTTATTTACTTCTCTTACATTTTTTTTTAATCCCTCCCTCTAGCATCATTTTCTGTGAAGCTGTAGCGATCTATGGGATCATCATGGCCATTGTAATCAGCAACATGGCTGAGGTAAGCAATAAACAGTTCTATTGTTGGATCAAGAAAACTGTGCCGTTATTCATTTTGTCTTTAAAGACGGGAGCACTGTACAGGGAACAGTACATACATTGGTATCAAACATATGAGACAGAAATACGCTTAATGTGATTGTGACAAAAATTGTGGTTGTTTTATTCTAAAAAGAATCTCTTTCCTCTTATAGAACTTTAGTGGAACAACCCCTGAGACCATCGGGGCAAGGAACTACCAAGCTGGTAAGAAAACAGACAAAAAGCTACTGAATGCCAGATGTTAAAGAAAATCAATCTTAAAAATGCCAACAATTTCAACATTAAACGGCACCTGGAATTTGCTGATTGTCACTCAAATTGCCGTATCCAGGGTGCGTTTTTCCCCCCTCATTTTTAACACATAGATGTAATGTTGACAGTACATGTCTTTCCATTCACTTTATAATGCATATTTTTAATCTGTGCATTAAAGAGGTGGATGGAAGAGGCCAAATTTATATTTAAAAAATGGTTGCGTTATAATGTGACAGTCTGGTACCAAGTTGAATGCTTGATATGGTCTGTATACAACTTTAATTCTTATGGTCTTAAATCAGGATGTGGCCAGTCCCAATGTAACTACTTATGGAAGTCTCTGACTCATTTGATTTCAATCCTACTAGGTTACTCCATGTTTGGAGCCGGTCTGACTGTGGGCTTTTCCAACCTCTTCTGCGGCATCTGTGTCGGCATCGTGGGCAGCGGAGCGGCGTTGGCAGACGCCCAGAACGCCAGCCTCTTCGTGAAGATCCTCATTGTGGAAATCTTCGGCAGTGCAATTGGCCTGTTTGGTGTCATTGTGGCCATTCTGCAGGTGAATGAGACGAGCTGCTCATTTTCTGTGTTCACAATCTTTCTCTTTTCTTCAGACGAGGAAGCTATCCATGGCTGCAACAATGGCCTTTTGTTGCAGACTTATGACACATGTCACTGCAGAGATAGTAATTATTTTCACAAAAGTGTAGATGGATCTATGTTGTGTAGATGTGATGATTCAACCTGTTTCTGTATATGAAAGTCTGTAATAACTGGTGTCTTTTTTTTTTTCTCCGTCAGACGTCAAAAGTAAAGATGGGTGACTAGAAGATGCCTTCACACGCTGAGAAGATGAAAAAGACACTGCTGGAAAATAAGATGGATTATTGTGTAAATACATCGTAAATTATTTAAATGTCTCTATTTGCCTGGTATTGTTTTTAACCATCATTCGTGCAAGAGTGGTACGCACACACCCCTTACTGTGTTGTCTTGATAGAAACATGAATGTTAAGTAAGAAATCTGGTAAAAAAACCCCACCAGATGGCAGTGTTTCGTGTGCATTTTTGCACCTGAAATTAATGACCGAACCTTGCTTCTCTTCAACAGTTCAGCTTGATGAGCAATACAAGCAGAATGTTGTGATGGATTTTAGCTGGCCAGCCAATCTGTAGTCTTGAGAGCTGTAAAGAGAACTGCAAGGATTTAAAATGCAAGCACAGGTTCATACAGGTTGGGGTTTTAATGACATTTTCCTGCTCACTCTTGGATGTATGATGAGTTAAAAATTACACTAGAGTATTTGAAAATATTTGTGTGTGTGTATGCTGGACACGTGATCTTTTTTTTTTTTCTCCTGTGAAGCATGAGGGTGTTTACCATTGTGTTTATTATTGTAGCCTGGTCTGTCAGGGTTTGTTTTTTTTTGTTTGTTTTGTTTTTGTAACTGTTCTTTGCTAATAAGCACGTGGTCCTTAATCCACGCTGTGGTCCGAATACAGTATTTGTCAGGCCTCCTGCTGTAGAAGTGAAGTTTTGAATTACAGTAGTGAAGTGGAAAGTAAGGTCATCCCGACAGCTGGACGTGCTCTTTGGGAGGCCAAGTAGTGTCAGATCACAGCAGCAGATCTGCTCTAAACATGTCAACCTGTCATTCATTTCCTTACTTCCAAAAATGTTATGCCAGCCACAACTTCCTTGTTTTTCCCCAGAGTCTTCTGATCCTTTTTCAGGAGGTTTTACAGGGAGGAATTGGATATAAAAGTGGATTGTTCAGTGTTGAGTAGAAGGAAACCAAACGATTGTGGATTCGCAGAATACTTTAAGAGATCCCTTGTCCATAGTGTTGTGCACAGAGACCATTAACTGGCTTTCAAGGAAACAAAGATGACCTTAGCATGAGGAAACCTAACGTCTCCAGTTACAAGTGAACAAAGTCAACATTTCTATCCTCCTTCTCAAGTCGCTAATCAACCTTATTATCGTAGAAAAGAGGGATTTATTTTAGAGAGCACCTACATTTCTAGTAGTACCTTACACTTAGTGGTAATAATATTTAATATTTGCTCTAGCATCGCAGTCATTGTTCTAGAGGTCTTAATAATTTTGTGTAGACTGGTCCTCTTGACTTTGATTTTATGTTCTCTCAGGTGATCTGGCTCCCAAAACTCTGGGTAAAAACTATGGACTGCATTAAATATTCAGCGACTTTATGGATACAGGTTTTTACATTATTTTACACAGAAATTACATTCTACAAATCTTCATATTTCTTTATTTTTTATTAAACTGTCTCGTTTTGAATGTTCATCTTAACATCTGTGTTCCCAAATTATTTTCTAACATTCCTTAAAGTGTGTGTGTGTGCGTGTGTGTGTAAAGCTTAGTCTTAGTGTGTTTGGGTAGAGTGCAATTTGAATGACAAAATTAGACTCCTGCTACATCACAGCAAAGCCATCATTTAAATCTTTTGTCATCAAAGCATGTGCTTTTTTTATCAGCTGGTAGCTGCGCAGCATTTCGGCTGTTTCCTATTGATGCTGACAAGTGAATGTGGAAACAGATTGTTTTTATGAACCTTTGGCTGCCAGCTGACAGAAGAATCAAATTGATGTGGGCACCGAGTGCAAAATGCTTGTACGGAAACACGTTTGCTAACACTTTCTGTTCTTGATGCATCATTCCGCAACTTAAGATGACAGACCACGGCTAATTGTAAATCGTCTTTCCTGTAATTTTTCCCTCCAACCCTCTCGTGGAGTCGTGAATGAGTATAAACATTGAGTCTTTACATGGGGAAACTGGATCGTCTTTAATATATCCAGACCTAGCCTCCCAAAGGTGTCAAAAGCCGCAAGATCGTCTTTTCCCTGATGATGGTTTTTAATTAAGCCGAGATGTAACTCAGATATTCCTTTGGTAAACCAGGCTCTGCACCAAACCCCGGGCTTTCAGTGACTGTAGTTGGTACCGTGTGTGCATTATGTTTATGTGATGGTGATCAGAGAATAAGTCATTGTTTTTTTTGACATTGTGTACAATAATAAAACAGATCGTCCTTCTGGCTTCATAAATGTCCTTGAGAAAATAAAATGTTCCAATCAAGGTTTGTTGGATTTGTTTCTGATTTAGATTCCTGTTTATCTTGTGGGTTTGTCAGTGTTGTGTCCTAAACAGTGCTGTGTGTACTGCTGTATATGACCTGTGCCACCAACACTCATCTTGCCTCCTGCTGTGTTTACTTGCTTCCACTAGATGGAGCAGTAAACCACAAAATCTGTCTTCCTGATTGAACTGGTGCTGTACACACTGGCTAATATCTGCTATAATATTTAACTGTGTAGCTGCAAGGTTATAGTGTGAAATTAAAGAACACATCATAGCATTAGTGTATAAGGTATTTATCTATCTGAAACTGGGCATTATGCTTTTTAAAATATATTATTGTCCCATTGCAGTTGCCTGCAGAAGACCCCATAATATACAGTAATTAAGACCACTTGTGAATATCATTGTGACGCCAGATGTTTTTGAACCGTTTTCCACTCATGGCTTATTCCCATTTAAAGAGACCATGCTCTTTAAACAATAATTGAATAATTAAAGACACTCAAAGACACTTCACAGAAGTACATAAGACAATTATTTTAAAATATATACAATCTTAAAATCTAATAAACTAATTCAACAAAGATTAAGGATGTCTTTGTCTACAGAGAGCCTCTAATCAATTTGTCAATTAATTAAATAAGAGGGGGCAGCTCTGCTAACTACAAAGCTTTAAAATGTGTCCATATGCATTTTAAAAAGAATTTAAGGTAGAGTTAGCATGTGTAATGTCTGTATATTTAAACATGTTTTAACAATGACCAATGGTATATTCCCATTTTAATGAGACCATTTAAAACAATCAACTTAATGTAAAATATAAATCATCTTAGTCAACTAAGTTAACTGATGATAAAAAGGACAAAAATGTAAAAGATGTCACAGAACACATTTAGAAATTGATGTTTAAAGTTGAAGAGTGTTAAACAACACTTTTAAGGTAGGGTTGTTAATGTCTGTATATTTAGACGCATTTGTACATAACTTTCCTATTGAAGCACTTTTTAACATCTGCATTGAAAAGTACAATATAAACAAACTTTGCTTTTTATTAGAAGTTTTAATAAAGTTTTAATAAACCATATTTGTGAATATCATTGTGATGCCAGGACTAAGCAGTAAAATAGTCTTAGTCAATCAAGACCAATGATCAATTGGTCAACTAACTAACTAACTAAAAAAAATAGAGCAACCATACAAACCTTTAAAATATGATCATCAAAGGTTTAAAAAATAATCTGAGAAAAACTAAAACTAAAAGTATAACGTGGAGAGTTGTATGTGTATTTATTTGTCTGCCTGCCCTATGAAACAATTTATTTGTTATGAAATCCAGTATAAATAAAAACAAAAATCATTATTTAAAACTCACATTATTATCTCCCTGTGTGTCCATGACAGAAAAGTAGGTTATCAAATCCCCACCTTCCCTGGTATGAGACGAGCAGGACAAAAAAAAAAAAAAGAAAAAGAAAAGAAAAAAAGAAAAAACGAGATTCTGAACCATCCGGGCTTCCGTAGGCAGCAGGGAGCGAAGGGACCTGCTCGCTGCCTCAGCCCGAGAGCATCCTTTCCCTCTGCTTTCTTCTCATCCTCACCAAAACACAGCGGGATGGCGGAAAATCACGAGGATAGCGTTCCCGTCCTCTCCGGTTCGCGGTAGAGGACCGTTGCGGGGGTTACGGTAGCCGGTTTGGAGAGGGGGGGGTGGGGGGGGGAGAGGCTAGCGTCATGCTACACAACATGAGGCTTTTTCGCCCCTGATGAAGAGAAAAGCTGTGGAGCACGACAAAGAAATAGTACCGTTTACTCCGCATGAGAGCGAGCTCGGGCTGAGAGCCTTTTGGTGTCATGTTTGTATTTCTTCTTTTTTTTTCTTCTTTTTTTTTTTTACAAAACATTCTCACCACCATTCAAGTTCGTTGCTCTTTTTTTGTTGTGTGCTGTGTGTTTTAATCATGCTTCTCTCCTCCTCGGCTGACTGAAAGCAGGCGGTGGGGCTCCTGGTAAACTCAGAAGCAACGAATGCGCCAGAAAAGGGATAGGATAAGAAGTGCTCGTCGCACAACTATGCAAGGTAGCGATGGCCATGCTTTTTGCCTCTCCTGGCTCCCGGGAGCGCAAATTGTTCTCATGCCAGGCATCGCATGCAACCGCTTTCCTCCTTTGTTTCCGATCCCCATCCCTCCCGCACATTTCATCCCCGAACATCCGACATGCCGTCCTCTCTTTTATTTGCAAGCCGTGCACTCCGTGGGGAGTGCGTGATAGAGTGTGATAGCCAACGCACTGCCCCTCGTAACTCTTTTGTTCACCCATGCACATTTCGCAATCAAACTAGGCAAGCTTTTCCTTTTTTTCTCTCTTTTTCTCCTTTTTTACACCCCCGCCCATAACTAGGCTCTCCTCCCCCCTCACCCCCTCCCCCCCCGCCCAGGCCTCCCTGCACCTGTTTACTCCTACAGTAAAAAAGTGAACCACTCAACTGCAGCACATTGCTGCCTGAGAAGGAAGATTATTCCAACCGCGTGGCATTTGGGTCCTAATTTGGAGCTTTATAAATCTTTTGAAAACCCACTTTTTTTTTTTTTTCCAAAGCAGCAGTATGTTCTGAAATTCCGCTGCCTCCCCCCCCTCCCCCCCACACACACAAATTTAAAGAGGGATGCAAAAAGCTGTGGCTGCAGCGTCTTCTGGTCTTATGGTGTGGTCACAGCACACCTAAGGGCAATAGAGTACCCAGTTGTGCAAGACCAGCCAGTGTTCTAGGCGCTGCGGAACATGAGGGAGGAAGAGAGAGAAAGTTAAATTGTAAAAATAGGAAAAAATTTGGTAAAAAAAAAAAGCCAAAGGAAAAATTTTTTTTTTAAGGGGTTAAAAAAAATAAAAAAAAAGAATTGGGGGTTTTATAAGATATTTATGGGTTGAAGAGTTTGCTCAAGAGCCTAAGAAGTGAGGCTAGTAGCAGTAGGAGTAGTATTTTTATTAATTGCTGATTAATCTAGCTGTTATTTCTCTGGATTAATCATTCCTAATAAAATGTCAGAAAATAGTGACCGAAAGTGTGGCGTTTCTCAAGGTGCCCGTTATTAAAATGAACTAAAAGAAAGTACGGTTTTTCCACTTGAAACAGAACAATCTCAGCTCAAGGCGCACCTGCTCCGCTCCGGTGTCTGGAGCTTTTAACTGTTATCACATCCGTCCCTCGATCCGTGTCGATCTCAGTTGTAATACAGTAAATGTTGGCGGTATTCCAGTGAGCTGCTTGCAGTTTCAGGGTCCTGGTATTGTGCGCAGCAGAGGCCATCCGTTGTTATCAGTAACACCTGTGTTTTTAACCCAGGTTATGACTAGGTGACAAAAAGGCCATGATCATGTTATTCCTTTTTTTTTTTTTTTTTTTTTAAAAACCGCTGATGTGCATACACTTGAAGGGCTGCAGAACAAGCAGGTAAGCTGAACTTTGAGCCCGGCAATCTGTTTTTGATTGTATATACGAAAGCAACACATCTTAGTCCAGTTTAAGTTCACTCCCATGTGCCAGTGATAGAAAGCAGAAACAACCTTTCGGCATCTGCTGTGAAAAACGGCTGTGTAATCTGTGACCTTGACTGAGGCTGATCAGATAGCAGAGAGGTGTTATGGCAATCGGGGTCTGTAAAATGTACAAGGTGACAAAGGGGTGGTCTTTTTAATTTATTATTTATTCATTTGTGTGTCTGTGTGCTGTGTGTGTGGTGGAGGATCGTTCCTGGCAGGTGTACAGGTTTTCCCTATCGATTGGTTATCACATGATGTGGCCCCTTTTTAAGAAAGAAGCTAGCTGCTGTCGAGAACTCCTTTTGCTGTTTTTTGTCGCTGACATTGTTTTTTGAAGGAGTAGCAGACGTAGTGTGCAGAGTGGGCGTCTCCTGGTTATTAAAGGCTGTCCTGGAACCAAAGGTCACACCCGGTTCATTCAGAGTTAGCAGGCTGTTTTAATTAATAAGTTAATTAATTAACCTTAATTACTAAGTTTGGCTCGCCTCCAAAAAATCCTTTGCGTACGCTGCTGCACGCGCCCACACCCCTTCTCTCTCTCCTCACACCCGCGCGCACAGGGCGAGAAGAGAGAGAGAGGGTCACAGGCGGGGCGAGAGAGAGAAAATGGGAAGTTTTAGGGGAGCTAGCGATATATAGAACTTGACTTGCCTAATACGGTTTATAGGGAATTGTTTTTTAATTGTTGTTTTCCAGAGAAACATTATATATATAAAAAATAAGGGTTTTTATTTTATATGTGAAAACTATGTG